CGCGGTGGCGCCCGGGCTCCGGCTGCTGGAGGCGCTGCTGCGCACAGTATTCGGCCGCCAGGCGGGTGGCCCCGTGCAGGCAGCCGCCTACTGTCCCAGCCACCCGGAATCCAGCCTGGCTGTCCAAGCGGCCGCCTGCAGAGCCCTGCAAGCCGCGGGGCCCGGGCGACCAGGTGAGGCTTCGCCGCGGAGCAGGGCAAGGCGCGCGCGGGCGGGCGGGCAGCGGCTGGGAAGCTCCCCGGGTCCGACCCCTTTAGCACCCCCTGTTGTGCAGCTAAGTAAACTGAGGCCGAGTGCGCGGAGGTGTCTAGTAGCCGTCCCCTCTAGCAGCCGTCCCCTCAGCACTTTAGCTTTAGGGGGCGGGCTCTGGACAAGGGGTCAAGTCAGCCCTGGGAGATTTGGAGTGTTTGCCTGATGCAGGGCGCTAGGAAGGCCGAAGGGACGAGGTAGGAAGGTGGTAGGAAGAAGGGTTGGACTGGCCAGGGTTGGTGGGGGGAGGGGGAGGGGGAAAGAGGACGGAAAAGCCTTGGGACACCTGTGTGTGGAAACTGGGACTGTGGGGTGCCTGGAGCTTCCAGGACGCAGTGCAGCCAGGGATGCGTTGAGACCTCTAGGCCATCCTGGAGGCTCCGTGGGGAAGTCCGGCGGGGTAAGAGACCCAAGGTAAGAGGCTTGTGGGCCTGGAGGAACTGAAAATACTGAATTTTCTAGTGCTTCCTGGTTTCGGGCTCAGGTTGCACACCCGCTGCAGAGGGCACCTTTCCATCCTCCTGCTCTAAAGTGTGGAGAGGGGAGTGGGTTCCCCCGGCGCCCCCCGCCCCCGCCAGCGGAAACAGCTGCTGTCCACAGAGGGAGCAGGCTTCAGCATCTCCCCCATCCTGGTTCACAAGGTTTTACAGGAACTCTCCAGTGTTTGGGGGTTAAAATGGGGACATTTAGTAATGCTGAGTCTGGCAAAACCGGGAGATCTTTGCACTCAGCTCCCCACTCAGCTTGGGCAGCCCTCCAAACCCTGCCGCCTCCACCTCCTGAAGGGTTAATGAAAACTAGAGTGGTTGTGTTGTGTTTCCTGGGGTATCTGGTTGGACAGCTACTGGGAGATGCTGGACATGGGGAGGGGTTGCTTTCTCTGCTGGGAGACCTGCTTCCTTGATGTTAAAAAAGTCACAGACTCATCCCAAGTCTAGCTTGCCTGGCAAGGGCTATCCCTCTCAGCTGGGATGCACCCCAGCATCCCCACCCTCACCCACTTTCTGTTGAGGCCTCTAGGCCTCAAATTCAGCCACTAGCAAGGGAAATACCTCCTGTGGAGCCTTGTTCTAATCAATTTTTCAGCCCCTTCTTCCCTGACCTGGCCCTCTGGGGGAAAGAAGGAAATTCACACAAATTTTATGCACCCTAATGAGCTGATGCCTAGAAAATTCTCCCAGGCTTTAATCTCTTGGATTCTCCCATTCCCATGGGAGCTTGCTCTGGCCTCCTAAATTTTTGTACCCAAGGCTGCTGCCTGGGCCTGAAAAGCCTTTTCTCTTCTCCTCCTCTCTACTTGGCCAGTCTCACCTCTCCATTCAAACTGGACTTCCTCCTCCAGGAAGTCCTCCCAGAAAGCTCCGCACTCCAGTTGGCAAGTTCAATGATGAAAACCCAGAATCCTTTGCCTTCCTGCTGTCTAAGCTCTTACCATGTGATTTTGTGCCCGTTCCCTGTGGGTTTAATCATGCTCGTAGTGCCCTTCCTAACACCTGCCTGGCATACAGAGTGAGATAAAGGACTCTTCACCTCCTTTTAAATAAATACTTTAAAAAGTTTAATGCTTTGCAAAGGCATCATTTTATGTTAAACTCTCTTCCACTTTTTTTTAAAAAAAAAGCAAAACACACACACACACACACACACACACACACACACACACACACACACTGAACCACTGAACAAAATGAAAGCTTTTATTACTGAATAAAGGGACTGTAGTTATGATTCATTGCCTGCCCATTTCTTTGCAGCTTTTGCAGTGGACAGTGTTTACCCTCAGGCCAAATGGACTCACGTTGCTAAGGTTTTCCTGTTGGATGCTCTGGTTTTTAAGTTTTCTGATTTCTTTCCTTACTGCCTGCAGATAATTCTTATTTTTTTTTTTTTTAAGTTGCTTGCCTTGTGTCAATTCTGCTTTACACAGTTTCAGTGTCTAATCCGGCTGCCTTTGGGTTGAAAGCCTAAGGATCCCATCTTGTTAAAACTGGATATAAATTAAGAGTAAATAATCTGTGAGTAAAGACTGTAAACAGGTTTTTTTGTTTTGCCTATCTGCTGCCAGAAGTTTTTATTCTTTTTTTTTTTATTTTTTTGCAGTGCCTTAAAAATGATAAGTCAGGCATGGTGGTGCACGCCTGTAATCCCAGTGGCTCAGGAGGCTGAGGCAGGAGGTTCATGAGTTCAAAGCCAGCCTCAGCAACATTGAAGCACTAAGCAACTCAATGAGACCCTGTCTCTAATAAAATACAAAATAGGGCTGGGATGTGGCTCAGTGGTTAGGTACCCCTGAGTTCAATCCCCAGTAACTCTGATCCCCAAAAGAATGATAGTCAAGTGCTCTACCAATGAGCTCCAACTTCCCCCTGCCTTTATTGGGGATTAAACCCAGTGACATTCTACTTCTGAGCTACTTCCCCTGTCCTTTTTATTTTCTTAATTTATATTTTTGTTTATTTATTTGTTTTGCAGTACTGGAGATTGAACTTGGGGAGCTCACAACTGAGATATATCCCCAATCCTTTTTATCTTGAGACAGGTCCTCCCTAAATTGCTGAGGCTGGCTTTGAATTTGCAATCCTCCTGCCTCTGCTTCCTGAGTTGCTGGGATTACAATCTTGTGCCACCACACCTGGATCCAAATCGTTCTTAAAAAAAAAAGAGGAAGAAGGAGGAAAAGAAAACATTCCCTGTTGACTTTACTCCAGATGCTTGGGGATCCCAGGTGATCTCCAAATAACTGGGATGGTACTTTAATTTTGCTAAGAACTAGAATTAATATTGTCTCAAATTATAATTGTTTCATATGTGATTACCAAAAAAATATTAAATCTATTTCTGTTAAGCAAGAGTTTGAACTAAAAATCAGGGAGGCATTTCTGCCCTTGAGTATTCTCTTTGGTGCTTTGTCATTGTAATTAATTTCACGTTTTGTTGCTAGGGTTTTCCCAGCATGGTACCAATGTCATAGAGTAATTTGCGAGGATGAAATGAAATGATCACAGTTGAAACTAGGACCAGTGACAGTTGAGACTCTTGGTTTGCTGGACAGAACGTTTTCCAGTCTTATGAAGCAGGAGTCATCTTTCTGACCTTGACCTGAGGGGCTTTGTGTTCTTCCTAGAAGAAGGAACTTGGGAGAGATCTGGCCTCCCAGGACTGCTGGCCTGTTTTACTTGGGGTCCTTGGAGCCAGAGGAAGGACCAAGATGCCACCTCCTTCAGAAGCCCAGCTCAGGGTGAGTGCTTCAGCTTCCTGGACCTTCCTGAGGGCTGGGTATGGAGACACAGGGGCCTCAAGGACAGAGCAAAAGAACATCCATGGAGCACCTGCTGCATACATGTGGGCATGGGGGGAGCCAGGTGAGCTGCCTCCCCTCCAGGCAGTGGGAAGGCAGGGCTTTTGCCCCAGGAGTGTCACCTAGTGAAGGAGGTGTGAGGAGGTCTGTAACGCAGGTGAGCGGCATGGGGGCCTCTGCAGTCAGGCACCCTGAGGATCCAGGGAGTGTCAGAGTGAGTAACGGGAGCCGGGAATGGAGGTCTTTCTCTAAGTAGAAATGAGAAGGTGGGGGGGGGGGACACAGCCCCAGCAGAAGCTTGACAGCAGATATCAGAAAAGCCCTCGGAAGTGTCCAGGGTTGAGGTACAGAAGGAGAGTAAAGGCCTGAAGTGAAGAGGAGAGTTAGGCCACACCGGGGGCCCTGAATGTCCTTCAGGGGTAGAGGGCCACTGGTGATTTCTGAGCAGAGCTGTCAAGATGAAGGGTGGCTTAGAAAGGGGGCTGGACTGTGGGGCAGGGAGAGCACAGAGGTGGAGCCCAGCTGTCGGGGACTGCAGCAGCCCAGGAGAGACTTCTTGTGGCCTGGACCCAAGGGTCAGCGAGGGACAGGAGAGAGGGAAGGGAAAGACAAAGGGCAGTAGTTTAAAATAAACTGACATTGTGTCCTTTATTTTAAAAATAGTTGATATTGTCAGCCTTCTGTTGCTGCAAAAGAAATTGCCACAAAAGTTAGTAGCTTCAAACTAGAAACATTAATAGGTCCCCGACTTGCTGTTAGTGGGGCGTTTGTTCTTGCTCCCACCAGGCCCCCCAACAACATCTACTCCCTTGTTTCTAATCTGAGGCCGTGTCACACAGTTGAAGGTAGTTACAGGAGTGACTAGCCATCCCCTCTGTCTCGTGAGGCTCCCTGTTCAACACCCGTCTCTGTATTTCCAGAGCCCACTTGCACCGAAGGAGGGGTTTATACAGGAACAGCTCACTTAAAGGGCCATGATCTTGGGGTTAGCTTCAAATTTTGCCTATTGTAGTTGAAAGCTTAAAAAATATTTTAAGAAAAGGGAAATGAATACTAAAAGTCCACTTGATCCTATCATTCAGCAGTAACAACAATCATTATTTGAGGGTAGATCATTCCATTTGTCTGTCGGTCTTTCCTTCTCTCACTCTCTTTGTACTATTTAAATTTTAGTATTTACTTCTAGGTAATATCTAATCTGCAGAATGAAGTAGGTATTCAAAACAGTCAATCAGGGGCTGGGGTTGTGGCTCAGCGGTAGAGCACTCGCCTCGCTCGTGGGGGACCCTGGGTTTGATCCTCAGCACCACATAAAAAATAAATAAATAAGTGAAATAAAGGTATTGTGTCCAACTACAATTCAAAATAAATAAATATTAGAAAAAAAACAGTCAATCACAAAAATGTTAACTTTTAACTTTGAGGTCATCATTTAGCATCTGTCATGAACCTAGCGGGAAAATAAAGCAAAGGAATCATTAACAGTTGACCATAAATTTTGGATAACTTCCTTCTCTGTAGCATATAACAAATCTCATGTAGAACTCAATTTATTAAAAGGCAAATTTCACTTATGGATTATGTACTTTTATCCCACGGTATCCAAGGGGATGGACTCCAGAACTCCACTTGAAAACCAAAATGTGTGTATGTTAAGTCCTTTATGTAAAATGGTGTGTAATTTACATATAACCTATGTTCATCCTTTTGTATGCTTTATTCACTAATTTATTTTGTGGTGCTAAGGATGGAACTCAGGGCCTCATACATGCTAAGCATATTCTCTACCATTAATTTACACACCCAGACTGCCTGCTAGATACTTTAAATCATCTCTAGATTACTTATATCCCTATAGTATTGTGAAAGCTATGTAAAATAATTGTTATACTGTGTTATTTAGGAAAATAATGACAAGAAAAAAATCTGTATTTGTTCAATACAGATAAAACTTTTTTTAATTGGTTGAATCTGTGGATGAAAAATACAGGGATATAGAGAGTCAACTGTACATACATTTTTTTTTTTAAAGAGAGAGAGAGAGAGAGAATTTTTTAATATTTATTTTTTTTAGTTTTCGGCAGACACAACATCTTTGTTTGTATGTGGTGCTGAGGATCGAACCCGGGCACGCTACCGCTTGAGCCACATCCCCAGCCCCATGTACATACATTTATAATAAGTATGACAAATATAAGATCTTATACCTGGGCTGGGGTTGTGGCTCAGTGGTAGAGCACTTGCCTAGTGTGTGTGAGGTGCTGTGTGAGGCACTGGGTTCGATCCCCAGCACCACATAAACAAATTAAACAAATAAAATAAAGATACTGTGTCCATCTACGACTAAAGAAAAAAATTAAAAGACCTTATACTTAACATGGAATCTGTTTTTTTCGTCTATAACATATTATGGCAATAATTATGTCAGTAACATCTTTTATCTTTTTTAAGGTATTTGTAGATTAACATGCAATTATAAGGAGTAAGAGAAAGAGCTCCTGTGTACATTTTACTTAGTGTCCCCCATGATAACATCTGAAGTTCTTTTTTTTTTTTTAAAGAGAGAGTGAGAAAGAGAGAGAGAGAGCGAGAGAGAGAGTTTTAATATTTATTTTTTAGTTTTTGGCAGACACAACATCTTTGTTTTTTTAGTTTTTGGCAGACACAACATCTGAAGTTTTTGAAACACAATGGAGATACTGTGTTATCTCCACAGATCGTATTCTGATTTCCCTAATTTACTGCACTCATTTGTGCTTTTAGTTCTATGGAACTTGGTATATCATTTCTAATGCTGAATCCCACCATATGTGTGAGCCATAGTTTTCTCTCTGAGTCCCTTTGCTGGACACTGAATCAGAATCAGGATGCTTTTAGATGCTAGGTAAGAAGCCTGGGGCTCAAAACAGCATACGATATATAAAGGAATTCATTATCACACCTAAAGGACAGTTCAGAGGTGGAGCTGGCTTCAGAGTTGGTTGATCCAGGAACTCAGTGAACTCCACAAAGACTCAGGATTTTTCCTCCTCTCTTCTGGGCCATCCTCAATGTATGTTTCCTCCTTAGACTGGAAGCAAGATAGCTGCAGCAGTTCCACTAATTATTCCTAATTATTTCCTCAGGATAAAATCCTAGAAGTGGAATTGCTGGGTCAAAGGGTATGTACATTTTTAAGGTTTTTGATCTGTATTTTGTTTGGCTTTTTAAAGTAGATTCACACCGGGGCAACTTCCTCCCTTTCAGTCCTTGCTGACCGACTTGTAAACTTTTTCTTCTGATTGGTCATTCCTTCTGTGTTCCAGAGAACTTCCAAGACTCACAGGAGGAGCTGGCACTCACCACCGTATTTCCCAACGGAGACTGTGAGGACCGTGGAAGTGGACCCAAAGCCTGTGATGGAGTCGTTCACACGCCCCCTGAGCCCCCTGGAGAAGCCAGATGAAGGCTGGACCCTCGGACTGTCCCTGGCTCTGACCCACACCCTGAGGCCTGGTCTTTCTCACTGAGCCCCCAAGTCGACCTTGTCTGGTGGTGACTGTAAAACCCCTCTTTTAGGGGGCTGTCACATTCCCTATGGCCAGTTCGGGAGCAGGACTTGCTAAGACAGGCAGGGCCTAGGAAAACTGTCCCTTGGGACCGGCTCTCCACTTGCCATTTGCTACTGTGATCATAGTAAGGTTTATTTTAGCTCTCTGTACCTCAGTTTCTCTAAGCCAAGGAGACGGGTAGCTCTCTACTTTGAGGCTCTGCAGAACTGTGGCACCCCAGGGTGTGTGCAGCTCTGGACACATGCCGGAGAGTGCAGCTGGAAGAACTCTGGGCCAGATATCATCAGATCTGGGCTGTGACTTGGGGTGTGTCATTCCATCTCTGGGACTTCTGTTTTCAAATGCAGGAGGGGCTGCCAAACCACTGGCTTTTGAGCCAGGGGCCGGACTGCCCTTCCAGGCAGCATTGGAAACCTGTGTGTTGGGGTGGGTCACTGACTGTGGGGCACCCCTGGCAGTGAGTGGGAATCCTGCAGTGTACAGGGTAGTCTCCAACAGCAAAGAATTGGTTCACTCAATATGGTGACACCTTTGAGACACTGGAAAAAACAGTCCCTTTTTCCTGTCAAATTCTGGGAAGAGTCCCCCAGAGAGTGTCAGGCTTCTTGGGACCTTGGCTCTGAGAACAAGCCAAAATAAAGACCACATTGTTGCCCCGGGGGCCTGTCAGGCCAGAGCCAAGATGGTCCTGTGTGTTGCAGGGCCAGGACAGAAATAGCCCTGCATGCCGGTGAGAAGAAAGGGCTGCTCTCTTTCTCATGTTGATATTGACTTTCTGTGCCAAGTCCTTGGAGGGTAAGAATGCTGGGAGCTGCCCACAGCACCACCCAGAGGAAGGCAGGGGGCAGGGGATGCTCCGGTCAGCTCTAGGTCTCAGTTCCTATCCCAAGGTCAAAGCACACAGCCCTGTACCTCAGTTTCTCTAAGCCAAGGAGACCGGTAGCTCTCTACTTGAGGCTCTGCAGAACTGTGGCACCCCAGGGTGTGTGCAGCCTTTCCTTTAAGTCAGACAGGGCGATGATGTTCCCTGCAGAGCCTCAAGGCCTGTGTTCACCCACAGGCTGCTCAGCATCCCTCTCTTGTCGACTTTGAGCGCTGGAGAAATGCAGTCTTCAGACTCCAGCGGGAGGGCAGCTCCTGATTTCCCCGTGGGAACCCCCCACCCCTCAGGGAAGTGGCCACGCCCATTCATTCCTGCGATTCGATGCACTCCCACTCTTTAGCTCCTGACCTTCCAAATGCTCTGGACCTTCCAGTTGTTATTTCAGCTTTCTCTGTGACGTTGCCAAATTGTAGAACGGAAGCCTCTAGCCGAGGGGCTCTGTGATGTTAAGGAAGGGCCCTCTCTACTCTGTGCCTCAATTTCTTTTCCATAACAGTGAGCCAGGTCCTACCCCTCCCTGGCCTCGCAGGGATGGTGTGAGGTCCCACGAGACAACATCTTCCTTGGGCCTGGGTGGCAGTGACATTTTTTAATAATGCAGGGTTGTCTCCCCAGTAGATAGATCCAGCTGGCATCTTTACATAGCAGGAATTCAAGAAATTTTGATTCATTGATTTTACTTTTAACTGGGGAGACTGGTATATCTGAAGCTGCTATATTTTTCTATTTCCTCATTGATCTCTTTATAATAATTTTGGTTGGAATTTTATCTGGTGGTGGGGAAGGGGCTTGTTATACGTTAGGAATTTGTCTAAGGCAGAAGTTACAGGGTTTAAAAATCTTTTGTATTTGTTGCCAATATTTGAAACTTGGCACATTAAAAAAAAAATCTAGTTTTCTGGGTGGATGTGGGGCATGTTTTCATTTCCTTCTCCACTTGGATGCCCTCTCCTACCTTCCCACCCACCCCATCCCCCACTGCACTTCCTTCACAGGACACCTGCCTGGTGCTGGCTCAGGTGAGCATTTGAGTTTGCAGTCTATGGGTTTCAGTGGTGTTTTATACATTATTTTTTCATTACTTTCAGGATTTCTTTTGAAGAGTTAAGAAAAAGGTCTTTGTTTCCTGAGATTTGGGTGCTTACTCTCAACTGATAAAACAGAGCTGAGATGGATCTCTGTTTCCTTGAGACATGACTGTGATGTGCACCATCTTTGAAGGGACAGTCTCAGCGCTGTTTCCTAGCAGACAGATTAGTTGGGTGCTATCAGGGATGATCTTGATGGTGGGTCTCTTCCCTGAAGGACTTTAGAAGGCATGAAGTTTAGTGGGCCAGTGGGAAGCCGGAGACCTTGAATTAGATCAGTGGTTCCCAGGAGCCATGGGGGAGGGCCTACTAGCCAGCCCAGCGTCTGGGTTTTCTGGTACTAATCTCTAATGTGGCGATAGTTTGCCGCTTCTGACTTGAATGGATAATTCCTTATATCTAATAAAACCAAACAAGTACCCCACTGGTGTCTAATCAAAACGGAGTGAATCTTCCCCTTTGTTCTCATAGCGTGTTCCTCACAGGCTCTTGGGAGTAGGGAATCTGAGCAAATGGCCAAAGCCTCTCGAATTGTTGGCAGCCTGAAAGTGACCCAGTCCTGGGTGACAGCCCCACAGCCCTAATGGCTGGAATTGGAAAATATGTAACAGGAAAGTAGAAGTAAATATTTAAAAAGAGATTTTTTTTTAAAAAGAGATAACAGTTAGGTAGACAGTGTTTTTGCAGAGCTAAACCAGCTTCAACTGAGTCTCAGAGGAACCTCTGTAATATTCATGTCACAGTTTCTCTTCTTTCAAAGTGTTTGTCTCCAAGAGGAATCTCTCAATTGTCAAAGCAAAAAAACGTCAAGGTCAAGGGCTGAAGCCCTCAACCTGAGATGTAAATGAGCCACTTACTCCAGGCCAGAACCAAGGACCTAACCTCTTTGGGAAGGTTAATGACAATGTAAACTTGAAAGCTTTAAGGGCAGCACAGTAACTCTGCATGCTTGTCGCCTGTGGTCAGGAGGTCTGGACTTTGTTCTGTTTGCATGGCAAACTCAGCCAGCATAATGAGCAAGTGGAGGAAGCTGGCTGGCTGTTTGTACCAAGGGCTGCATAAGCCCTCTGCCCTGCTTTTTTTGTGTTAGTGGATCAAGAATTGGGACTGAAGCGAAATCTGGCCAGGCAGCCCTGCCACTTGTGTGGCCTTGGAGTTTGGGGGGTGGGGCCCAGTGCACGGTGCAGGGTGGTCAACCTGGATCCTACACACATGCCTTCAGCCTCCGAGCACTAGTCCTCTGTAAGATTATACTTAGGGCTGCCTAATTGGGAGCAGAGGCACACAGGGCCCACTGGGTCAAGCTGTGGTTCAGAGGGTACCAGGAATCCCATAGCAGTGGTAGGTAAGGAGAACAATGTGGGGTAATCTGGTCCCTAGTGGGGCTGAACCCAAGGGACGATATGGGATCATGACTTTGGAAAGGGTAAGAACCTTGTCTGGGCTTCCTTCCCCAGCTCCCCAACCCCAGCTGTGCCTCCTGCCTCATACGCAGACGTAGGACTTCTAGTGCCTTGACAGATGGAACTCAGGCTCTTAGGAAGGAGCTGGGTTCTGAGTCTTACATGGGGCTTGTGCACCTGCTCTCCAGAGCACAGTCCTTGTGACCAAACCCTCATTTTGAATACAGGTTGCAGAAACTGGCTGTTTTGTAGCCCTGAATTTTTTCCCTTCCAGACTGGTTCATGAGAATTTCTCAGAGCCAGATATTCCTTGATCATGACCCTAATCCCAGGCTAACCTGGCCCTGAAGGCCTACCGTCCTAGTGTGCTCCCTGGCTCCTGGCTCCCAAACTGGCTGTCAGGATGGTCACTTACAGTCTCTTGTTCTTGGAAGAGAATAGGTCTTCCCTTCAGCCTCTGCATGTGATCTGGCCTCCTCCAACACCAGCTGTTCCAGAGATCAGGCAAGACCATGGAACAGGCCAAGGGCCAGGCCTCAATGGGGGCCAGAAGAGTGGAGCTGAGAAAAAGGCTCATATGTAGTTGTCCATTTTCTAATAGCCACATTCAAAAAAAGGAAAAGAAACTAGTAAGAATCATTTAACGTATATTTTGTTTTACTCAAAATATTACTTAACTGTAAACTACTAATGAGGCATTTTGCATTTTTTGCATGCTGTCTTTGAATCTTGTGAGAATTTGACATGTAGAGCCCAATTCAGATATTAAATTTTCATCAGCTGTACTTGATCAGTATTTAGATCTCATTAAATATGCAGTCGTAAGTACATTCGCATCCTCAAATTGTTCCAGATATACTTTAAAAAGTTTTTCAGTAACTCAATTGAATATCTGGTCAATTTCCATTAATTAAAATGTCATTTAAAATTAAATTTAGAATTCAATTCCTCCACTGCACTAGCATATTTTAAGCGTTCACCAGCACCTGTGGCTTGTGCCATAAGTCCTGGAGAACACTGGCCAACAGAAAACGCTAGAAACCTAAATTGGGGTCACTGCCCCCACCCAGGCTCCCTACTTGCCCCGAGTTTGCTGGCCACCCCAGACCCTGGCAAGGTCACCAGTTGCTTCCAGCGGTCGGCTTGTGCAGGCAGTCTTCCAGGTGCCTGAGATGGGAGTCAGACAACCTAGCTCCTTGGTGGGTTCACAGATGTGTTTCTGCCTGGGTCTCTTTAGCCAGACGGGTTTCCACCCTGAGGGCATTTCCCCTGACCAAGCCCTCACACGTGGGAACCCGTGTCACCGGCTGCGTTTCACATAAATGCGTTTACTCTAAAAATAGAGGTAGGCGTTTTGCACGTGACAGCCTCGAGGCCCAGTCGCCTTGAGATCTGCGAGAGCTCCTGGGTGGCTCGGTCCGCCCGCCAGGCAGGTGGGTCCGCCGGCCTTAGGGGAGAGGCTTGAGTGCCCAGGGCTCGTCCACAGTGTCAGAGGGGCCCAACAGGGACAGGATTCGGGACGCCGGGGCTGCCACGCCAGCCAGTGCCACCCGACCATCACTGCAGCTCTACGGGGACTGGGTGACCCTCTAAGACCCGGGCAGTTGCATGCGTGCAGGCTGAAGCCCCCGCCCCCGAGTTCTCGGCCTTCTGGGAGCACTGTGACCATTGGTGGGCGCTGCAGGGACAAGCTCTGGCCCTCTCCTTCTTCCTGCCTTCTTCCAGACCAGGCCCCCAGCCCAGCTCACACAAACCTGGGTGAGGCCACAGATGACCTCGATTAGGCCTCCAGACGTTTTGTGACTCTTCTGAATTTGAAGAGAGTGTTCAGGAGCAGAACGCACTCCGGAGGGAATTCTTTCTGTAAAGCCCAGTGCAGTGGCACACACCTGTAATCCCAACTACTCCGGAGGCTGAGGCAGGAGGATCCCAAGTTCAAGGACAGCCTGGGCAATTTAGGGACTCCTGTCTCAAAATAAAAAAATAAAAAGGGATGGGGATGAAGTTCAGTGGTAGAGTTCCCCTTGGGTTCAAAGCCCAGTACCAGGGGTGCAGGTGGGATGAGAAAATTTTGTATGTGATTTCACTATGTCCCTAAAAAAGATACGTAGATCTCATTTGAGACTGTTGGGGAGGACAGGGGTTTTACAGCCATAGGTCTGAGTCCAAGCCTTCTGCCAATAACTAACCATCATTCATTCAACAAACATTTACTGAGCACCTTCTATGTGCCTGACACTCTGCTAGCTACTATAGGAGATAGTGATTACAGTTGGGAAGGGGGCAAGATGTGATTACAGTTGTGTGAAGTAAAGTCTCAAAGGGAGCATGTGGAGGGGTAGGTCAAGGTAGGCTTCCTAGAGGAGGTACTGCTTGACTGGGCCTCAAAACTAGTGGCATTCATCAGGCTATAAGGGAGAGGGCCTTGAAGTCAGAGGGAAAAACAGGTACCAGGATCCAAGAGAAGGTATATAACTATATGGCTGTTCTGGGAACTTTAGAGGCTCCAGATGGCTACAGTGGGGCCAGACAGGACAAAAGGGACCTTAAAGATGGTGGAAGTCCTGTGGGTGAGGGTAGTCTTACTTGGTTTTGACTGGCTGTGAAGAATGAACTGGAAACAAGATAGTAATTAGGAAGTCAAATTTCTTGGAGGCTGTTGCAACCAGAAAAGAAGAGGGGGAGACAATTGTTGGGTAATCGAGTGAGGATGGGAAATGGCTGGTGCAGAGATATTAAGGGGACAAAATCTGGTGCTGAATGGCTGAGATGGAAGAGTCAAGGGCACTCCCAGATTTCTGCTTCAGAGGCTTGTTGGGTGCAGAGCAGGCTAAACTGTGTTGTCTGCAGGGCAGGCTGAACAGATGTTGGCTGCAAGATAGCTCACGCACTCAAACCCCGCTCTATCTGGTCCTTTATCACCTGTTTGCCTCAAGTCTGAACATTCAACCCCGCTCAAGGTTGAACACTTAACCCCCCTCCCTTGGGCCAACAAGGCAGCTTGCAGACCCAGAGACCCCATTAGATTTGGGCTATAAAAACTCCCTCCTGCCAGGCCCCCCTCTCTCTCTCTCTCTCTCTTGCTCTTGCTCTCTCCCTCTTCATCTCTCCTCTTTTCTCTCTCTCTCTCTCTCT